TGAATCAACGTCGCCAAAGATTTGAGCGGGGAGGGGGGATGGGAGGGGAGGTCGAATGGGTTTTGGAGGAGACATCTTATTTCTTCGGCTATTTTTTTTTTTTTTTTTCTTTGAAAATCACAGTTTCTGCGCAGCTCCAGCGGAGAAGGGGACGCTCCGGCCCTGAACGTTCCCGAGAGCCGCCCGCGGCCGCCGCCGGGCGCCGAGAACGGTGGAGCGGAGCCCCCAAAGGCGCCGCCGGAGCGGTGCGGGGCCGGGCTGGGCGCCGCCGGCGGGGTGAAGGGCGGCGGGTGGTGGCGGTGCCGGGCGCGCGGCCTTTTCGCTGCCGCTGCGGCTTCGGCCCTGCCCGAGCGCGGGCGTCGCGGCTCCAGGCCGGTGTTAGCGAGGGGTCCGGGTTCGGCCCGGGGCCGCCGGGGGCTCAGGCTGGCCGCAGCTACGGGGAAAAGTGCCCCGGCGGTGCGAATGTGGGCTCCTCTTCCGCGGAGCTTATTGCGGGCAGCAGTGCGGCGTGCGTGTGTATCTGTGCCGTGTTGTTGTGTGTTTCAGGTCGATAAATAAATGTGTAATAGTTAATGTGCAGACACATCAGAGTAATAACAATGGGATGAAATCAAAGGATTATCAATCTCTGTTAGTAACTGCTGAATAACAATGTTGCGGTGTGATTGATAGCGCGCTTCATTTTATGACTTTTCTATTGCTCTTGATTTTTATAGCAGTATAAACAAACTAAATCATTTCTTCCAAGACTTCAGAGCGCAATCGTCTTAGGGGATGGGGGGAAATCAGAGAAGGAAGCCCGCAGGAGGGAGAGGGGAGAGCGGGGCTGACGCTTAAGCGTGTCAGAGAAAAAATGACAATAGGGTATATGTAAAAATCTCTAATCACATTCTGCTTCCGCACACTCTTGTTTTGTCAAGTGCCTGAATTCACCTGGGCAGCGCTGGAGATGTATTTACAAGGATTTTATTTCCCGTCATCTTCGCATTTTCCCAGCGTAGCCAGAAAACTGCCAGTCAACTCCATTCTCTGTTATAATTTACGGTATTCCCCACATGATCGTAGGAACTGAAGTTCTTAACAAGGAAAAGCTTTAGCGCAATGGCCCAAAATCTTCAGAGTGACAAGAGTGTCTTCAGAAATCACTTCAGAGCAAAGTAAAAGGATTTTCTATGACGGATCCAGTGATTTTTCCTCAATAAATAGGTTTTAGATTGTTACACACACGTAGAACTGGAACAAAGGGAACTACCAGAAAATATATTGGTTGCCCCTAATAAAATTTATTTAGACAGTTTACTTCTCATAAAAAATAGAGATTGAATTTCGTACGGGAGCGCCTGCCAAGGGGCTTGGCGCCGGGAGATCGTCTCCCCCCCTCGCCTTCCCTCTCTTCCCATTCCGCCGGGCCCGATCCGGGGTCCGGGCCGGGGCCGCTGCTCCCCGCCTCCCCGCGGGCCGCCGACCGCCTGCGGAAGGGCTGCGGGCCGGGGCGTGCCGCAGCCACTGCGACGTAACCCCAATTCTCCGGCGCTGTGACCCCGGGAAAAAAGGGGAGAGAACTTTCCGGCCCCCGGCGCTCTCCCCCTCCCCTCGCAGCTAAACTCAAGCCCTGATTGAATGAGGCTGTAATATAAACAAGTGTATTTAACCAATTCTGCTCTGATTTAGGAACAGAACCTTCTTTTGGCTGAATAATTATATTTGGAGCAAGAAACACGATAAAATAAGGTTAAACTGCTAAAGTCAGCGGGGTGGCTTGGCGTAAATGGCTGATCGGGTTTGTAATTTGATATTTTATTTATGCATTTATTGAGCATCCATCCAGTTAAGGGGGCTGCTGTATGCAGAGCGATGTAATTGCTTTTTACACTTAGCACACGCTCCTGGCGTTTATCGGATGCCTGGCTTCTTCGCGCTGCTTTTTTGGTATCTCCAGACGGCAGCGCTGAAATATCGGGTATTGTTACTCGCATTCCCGCTCCTCAGTGCTGCATTGTAACACTGTTCGCTTTAATGAGAGGCGCCTCCCTCAATAATTAACGACCTCACATTTCCCTATTTTCTTGCCTGATGAAAAGAATCAATTTTAATTCATCGTAAATTACAGCTATGCTTTTGAGTGTTATTTGCTTATAGAAAACAAATCAAGTGACTTAGGCTCCTGTTTACTTTTCCACATCGGCACAGCCTAAACACAGATGACAAATCAAACTATATCCTTTCGTTAGGCGTAATTTGGAGTTAAGAAATGGAAAAACATAAACACGTGTTTTTATTTCAATAAACCCCCTGGAAAAAATGACTTATTTGGAAATGAAGGACAAGGCTGCCAGCAGCTACAGATCCCAATTTATTCATTCTAGTCAGAGCTAAATATGATGATCATCGCTGCTTTACGACATTAGGCTGCATGCAGCATTTTGTAGCTGTAATAAATATACTTCTTTGATAGCAACTTCATGAAGTTTAAACACATCCGAGGAAAGAACGATCGCAGCTGATAAGAAACGCAGCCGTCAGACGTTCCGAAAATAGCCTTTCCGAGCACGGCACGGAGAGCTCGAGCCTCCTGTCATCCTCCCTCAAACGCGCTTAAGAGCGTCGTTTTCCTCCTATTTGCTTATTTATCTGAATATCTGTATCTCACTCCGGCTAAGTCAAAGGCGGCATCTCCGATTGTCTCCTCGTTGGCAGGCTGCGGGGAAGCACTCGACGGCGGAGCGGTTGCTTTAGATTGAAAGCATGGCTTCTATCAATTAATTTTCATCACAACTATGACAGCCAGTCTTTTATGGGGAAAAAGCTATTTTAATACAAGGTATGCCTGACACCCCCGCACCCGACCTCCTGCGCCCAAATGCAAACTCTGTGCACACGAAAGTCACCTCCTCCTCTCCCCCAGCTTTG